TAATTGCGGCGTTTGTTGAAAAACGCCACTATATACTATCATATGGCGGCGTTTTTAACAAAAACGCCGCTATATTTATACTCTATTGTAGCGTTTTCAATCCAAACGCCGCTAAAGTCTCAATTTGTGGCGTTTGGATTGAAAACGCTGCTATATGTAATACTTTTGTGGCGTTTTATCAACAAACGCCGCTAAAAACGCCGCTACAGAACAGTTTTGCTGTAGTGTTATGAGATTAGATGAAAAGTGAGATAAGTTAAATAACATTGACCTATAAGACAATATGAGAATAATATAAAAATTAGGAGACATTGACAGAATTGATTATATGAACATGTAAGATAAGCTATATGGGGAAAAGTTATGGGCTTAAATGAACATATAATATATGAGTCATATGGTAAAAATATATGAAGTTATAGGAAAATGTTACGGGAGCTATGTGATGATAAGTTATGAAAGTATATATAGGTAACATGCTATGTGAAATTGAAGTAAGTAAATATATGAAACTAGAATATAAATAATGTGAGATAAGTGATTATGTAAAACTGTGAGAAGTTATAGGGCATTGATATTCGAACTATATGAAAGTATGTACATGAATACATGTATAAGTCTATATGTTATTATATGTGTTATATGATGTAGATCTGAACATATGTGAACAAGATATGACATGCGTGTTTATATGAACACATGAGAAATGATATAAGTTGTATATGGTACGATCTATGTGATTACATGCACATGTGATATATGAACCTATGGATACATGTTATATGATATGAGATATATGTTTACACATACATGTGGTATGTGACAGAAGAGAAGGAACATGTGATTATAAGATCAATGATTACACGTACTTGTGATACGTGACAGAGAAGAAGAGATATATGTTTATAAAAGAAATAATATGAATAAGTGATGTGAATATGTGAACTGTTATAAATGATAATGCCCATGTTATGTGATATGAGAGCTAGTGGTATAGTTGGCATGCCAAGGGTCGAGGGTTTACTTATGTTCTTCGGGACATATGGACTGTTTACCTATGTTCTTCGGGATATATGGACTGTTTACCTAGATTCTTCGGGACATATGGACTGTTTACCTTTGTTCTTCGGGACATATGGACTGATTACCTAGATTCTTCGGGATCTATGGACTGGTCCTTCGGGACATTTATACGAGCTGAGGTGAAAGCATAGTGGTGCACAACCTCAATGTACTCACATACCTTAAGTCCTCACAAGTGTACCATGGGCTAATTAAAGAGAAAACATAAATACAATATATGATGCATATGCTTTTGGGGATATGAAATGTGTTATAAGAATTATATGATGTTATGTGTGTTTCTTTGTGAAATGATATGTGTTATTGATATACAAGAATATTAATACATGATAGTGATAGAGATCATGATAATGATATCGATGATAATAATGATAGAGATCATGATAATGATATTAATGTTGAAAGAGATAGAGATCATGATAATGATATTGATGTGGATAATGATAGAGATTATGATAATATTATTGACGTTGTTAATGATGGTATACGTGTATGTAAGCATTCTGATATATGAAATGTACTATGATTTCTATTATATGTTTTATATGACTCACTAAGTCAATGACTTAGCGTGTGATTGTTTCACACGTAGGTACCAAGAAGAGGAAGAATGATAAAAGTTAAGCAAGACAGGCCAGTTCCTCCTTTCCAAAGATCGGATTAGAAAAGTATTGAGTAACATGTATTTTGTAATACTGATGGTAGTTGGCATGTAAGTAAAGATTTGAATTCGATATGCTCTAATTGGTTTTGTAAAATCATATGATTATAATTTATGTAAATTAGTCAGTTCTATTCAGTAAAAGTTTTAAAATTATTCACTATTTTGTACAAGTAAATGTTTGAAAAGTCAATGTGACACCTCGGACTTGTATCTGGGTCGGGTACGGGTTGGGGGCGTTACAGTCTAATCCTATGTAAATTATTTGCTAATTCTTTAATAAGTGTTAATTGAATTAATTTGAATCGAAATAGTTGTTAAATTAATTATATAATTTTATGTATTTTCTCATATGTACTAATAGTAATTGTTGCTAACAATTTAATGAGTTATAATTTCGGAAATTAAGAATATGAACCAAATTAAACCAAAATCATCATATGATTTAAAGTGTATTTATACTTTTAATTACATTAAAAAATAAGTGTTTCTGAAAAGTATCTTATTTCTAAAAGCATATCATTACAATTTTTTGCATTTATCCAAAACAAATTCTTAAAAAAAAAGTCACACGTAGATGAGATCAATTTTATTATACGATAACAAAGTACAAGAGAATTGTACGAGAGTAGAGATTGAGTCAGGATTTCAATTCAAGGGACACAAAGCGCAATTAATCATAAAAAATGAGTATATAAAGTATAATTAATCATCAAAAATGAACGGGAAGGGAAAATCAAAATAAATTAGAATGAACAGGGACAATGGCCCCCCGAGACAAAGCATTGTTTTGTCCCTGTAAGAGAGTACATTAAATCCTAAGAACTCTAAATACATATGTATAATTGTTTAAACATAGTGACCCTAATTGATTAAAATTATAAAACAACAATTTATTTTTCACTAAATAAATCATAACATAATTTATTTAATCAAATCAAGTAATAATAATATTTTTTAAGAAAAAATACGTTTATTGTGTCATAGATCCATCAGAAAGAAGGACTTACTTATATTGTGGGTGAAAGCTAAGTTAAATGGATTTTATATTTGATGAGAACATAACCTCTTAGTTTTTCTTTTTTTAATTTAATATATTTTATGTAGGTTTTATAATTTATATAATTTATTTTTTTTACAAATTTAAATTTGTACATGTGTGTATATTTATAAGGTTAGCGGTAGGAGTTGGTGGGTGAATGACGAAAGGTGGAAGATGGGTTTTTCCTTCACTTTTTAATGAAGCAAAAACATTTCTCCAACTTGCGCATTGTTAGGCCAACAATCAAACCAACAACACATCATTCCCTCTTTGTTTTTCGGCTGAATAAATTTTACTACAAATTACATTTCCAATTCTACTTCTAACACATGTGGGACATTTGATCAGTTTTTTTAAACCATAAACCGCCTTTTAATTTTTTTTTGAATTAATCAATGATATCCGATCTATTAACCGACTAATTCAGATTGGGTACTGCAGAGGCGAGGGCGACCCACCCAATCCAGTTTGCTTCATTCGCAAACGCCAAGATTTGAACCATTGATCTTGCTTAAGGGACGTAGTGTCTCATCCCACCAGACCAATTGGTTGTTGGTTAATCTTTATTTCTTATTTCAAAATTATTTTTTTGGCAGCATTTATTATGATAAGAAAATAGCATCTATTCTTTAGTTTTCTATTGTGGTTTCTTTAAACTATATTACTCTTCATAATTCTTTTAAATTAAATTAGTAAAAAAATCTATATTTTTACACATTCAGAACACAATCCAATGAATCGAGTTAACATTCGTGTTACTATTCCTTTGTTTGAGTTCATTAAACAAGAGGAATTCATGGTATCTAAAATTTAGTTGAAATAATTTATGTGTCACTCATAGTGTAATTTTATTCAAAGGGAGATGGAGAAGGTCAGCAGGTGTTTGACTGTAAAAAAAACAGTTTAATTTGTTAATCATACACGTCCCAATTTTAAGCTATTGAGCTGTTAATGTTAGTTAGGTCCGGAAGCTTAACAATAACCTAAATCCCCCGGATACTTGCATTACTTCACAACCCCATCACGTAATTTATAAGTACATCCAACCCAAAATAATATCAAATTCATCTTTTTATTTTATTTTATTATGTGTGAGTTACGAGTGTTCTCTCCCCATATGTTTAACGATCTAAATATAAATAATATTGAATTTTATAATATTTTTAAAACTTTAAACTCGAAATCTTGATAAACTAGAACAACCCAATGTTAATTGATTTCTTTTTCTTATTGTTGCATGCTATCACAAACCGGGATTGACCTACCCTTAAAATTTTTAAATTTCTATATATTTTAGATATTTTTTTGTATTTTCTATTGAAAATATGTTTTTGCCCCCTAAAATTTTATACATTCACCCATAGTTCAAATTTTATAAATTTATCTCTCATAACATGAAATCGTGCTTCCGTCCCTAATCAAAGACATATATACATCCAAATAATTATAACCATGATCATACTCGTAATAAAAACATATTCATACCTAAATAGAACCAAGATTATTTGGACAAAGTGTGGTTAGCTTAAATGAGATATTAGTTTGGAAATGAAGGAAAATGGGCAAGTTTGTAATAAAGGTAGAGATCATGTGTAATGGTAGATAGGTGGGTTATAAGTAGAGGTTGTAGGTTAGAAACATGGAAAGACGTTGAAAGGTAAACGGAATTCAGCCCACCAAGCAACCTCTCTTTCCCTTTCCATTTGTGTGTGTTATAAAAGCTGATGGATTACTCTAACCCTTATGTAAAGCGTTCGTTAGCCAAAACGTTGGCATCAATCACCGCAACTGCGCCAACTCTCTAACGGAAAACACTTTCCCCTCTTCCCCTTCCCTTTATATATGTATTTCATTTACTTTCTACCATCTGATCTGAGTTCATTGCCATTTTAATTTTCATCAAGTGAAAGATCATCAGCAGCAGCGCCAGCGGCAACGGCTCTATGTGCAGCAGAGGTCATTGGAGGCCGGCAGAGGATGAAAGGCTTCGTGAGTTGGTGGAACGCTACGGTCCTCATAATTGGAACGCCATAGCCGAAAAGCTTCAAGGGAGATCAGGTACTTACTACGTTTCAAACATTTTCAGAAACTAGGGTTTGTATTGAAACATGCGAAATAGTATCTTATTTGGTTTTTGATTGATTTATCAGGGAAAAGCTGCAGACTGAGATGGTTTAACCAGTTGGATCCGAGGATCAACCGGAACCCTTTCACGGAAGAGGAGGAAGAGCGGTTGTTGACTGCTCATAGGATCCATGGGAACCGATGGGCTGTGATTGCTAGGCTTTTTCCCGGTCGAACTGATAACGCTGTGAAGAATCATTGGCATGTTATCATGGCTCGTAGATGCCGACAACGATCCACTCCATATGCTAAAACATCACTTCCCTATCGTCACCAAAACCCTTCTCAGCCTCAGATAACCCATGGTTTTGCCCCACTTTTTTACAGGTTCAAGCAAGGGTTCCCTCACGACACTTGTTCACCTCTCGATCCGACCCATTGTGCTGCAATAAGTCATGGTACTTGTTAGAGTTTTGTGATCCATTTTTAGTTGAAATGTATACACATACATATGTAGCACAGTTGGTTCATTTCTTTTTCAACATAAGTAATCAACATATCAAACATACTACATGCAGATCAGAAGAAGCAGACAATTGAATTCTACGATTTCCTTCAAGTGAATACGGATTCCAATAGAAGTGAAGTGACAGACAACAGAAGGAGAGACGAAGATGAAATAAATCAACAAGCAATGCGACAGGACACAAAGACCGGGCCTGCCTTCTTCGATTTCTTGTCCCTGGGAAGCTCCTCGGAGTGATCCTTTCACCATGCCTGTAAAACACTCATCACTTACACCAATACATTGTAAAGAGAAAAAGGAAAAGAAGAAACTAACTCCAACATTTGATAGGTGATATTGTTGCCACTGCATCATTTGACATAACATATATATTTATGAAACAATCTAGGGTTTATATAGAAAGAAAGAAAAATGCATGGTTATGTATGCTATATATAGCTTATATACACAAAAGATATTGATGAAAGTGAAAACCCTTTTGTTTCTACAGAAATCATTAAATTGTTCATTTTTCAAGGTTGATCTTTGGTATGAATGAATTTGTATTTACTAATATGCTCATAAGCCATTGAAAATTTTAAATTTGATTTTCATTTACCATATGAATGAAATGTTTACGCTATGAATAAATTTGTTGGATTTCAATATAATAAATATTTTGGAAAGTATGAATTTGTTGAATTCATAAATTGTTTAGATTTTTTTTTTGAAATTATAAATTCATCACCAAATAAAACATATAATAAATTCATGAATTGACATATAAACATGAATGGTTCGTATATATGTATGTCAAATTTACACTATTTAATATATAACAATTTATATTCCAATTTCCATACACTATCTTAATATATTTGATAATTCATTTTAAAAGCCAGTTAAATGAATTTTTTGAAGATGGAAATTGTAAATTGTAACAAAATTCTAGTTAATGATTAAATAATAAAAAAAAATTTAAACATAAATTATAAATCCAACATAAAATTATACAAAATATTTATAAAAAAACGAAAGGGGAACTAAATATTAACAAATAAAACCAACGAGATTGATTCAAGTGGTAAGTAATTTGATATCGCTTAAGCAGATCTTGAGTTCGAGTCCATGTGTATGCAGAAAATCTTCGCTAAGAAAATCGCCAACCAAAACTAGGTATGTGACCCTAATCGATCTAGATTGATCAAGACGAAACCTTATGAATAGGAAACGTGACAAAAATATTAACAAATAAAAAAAAGCATAAACGGCGACCAGGTCTAATGGAGGTGTGATAGGCCTATGTTTGGGTTGGGCAAACATAATATCAAACTCCGGCGGGATATAGCCTAAACTCACAGTCCTTAGGTATAGGCTTGTAAATGAACTGAACGTTTAGCGAACAGTTCATGAATCGTGCGGCGGAAAGTTCGTTTATGTGCGTTTATTTATTAAATGAACGAACATGAATAAGATTTTGTGTTCGTTTAATTAAATGAACGAACATGAACATATGTCTCGTTCGTTCATTTACGTTCGTGAACGTTCGGTTATGTTCGTTCGGTTACGTTCGTTTATGTTCGTTCGGTTATGTTCGTTTATGTTTCATTCATTTATGTTTAACCCAATCTTCTTAAATCAATTTTGGTGACCAATTTGTAAGTATCTTAAAAATATTAATTAATTTGATATTTTGATGACAAACTCCATAATTAATAATTAACCCAATTTTATTTGGAAAACCCAATAATATTAACATGGTTTAGTTCTTTTTGAACGAGCACCGTCAACATCCACTACGCTGGAACCCTATGTGTCTGCGCCACCAGCTGGTTATCCGATGAGCAAAGAGGAGTCCCAATTTTCAACTTCTACATAGCACGAAGCTAAGGACATGTTTGTTTGATCCCCAAGGATTAAGGTCGACAATCACATGAAACACAATCTGTGTTCATCTCGACTGTTATTGAAGGAGAGAGGAAGAAAAAAAGTGGAGGAACGTTATACAATTCCACATCAGTAGTAAACAAGCAGCTCGGGGTTGGCAACTTATATAAAAGAAGATGGGGAGAATAGGTTTAAGTATCTTTACGCTTGGGGCAATGTCAAGCTTGAATCGAGCTCGAGTATCGAGTTTTAATCGAGCTCTTAATTTTTTTGTTAGTTTGAGCCTTTTCGAGTTTGAGTCGAGTTTCAATATTATATTTTGAGTTCGAGTCGAACTTGATAATTTTAAGCTCGCGAGTTTTCGAGTCGAGCTGACTTTGGAAGTTTTCGAGTTCGAGTCGGGCTCAGCAATACTCGAGCTTGATTCGGCTCGTTTACACCCCTAGGTAGGGTCTCCAACGTTTATGTTCGTTTATGTTCGTGTTTCGTTTATGTTCGTGTTCATTTATGTTCGTGTTCATTTATGTTCGTGTTCGTTTATGTTCGTTTATTTATTAAATGAACGAACGTGAACAAGTTATATTCCTTAATAAACGAACATGAACAAAAATTTTTTTGTTCATTTATGTTTGTGTTCCTTTATGTTCGTTTATTTATTAAATGAACATAAAGTAATTCTAAATTAAAAAAAAAATGAACATAAGAAATTAGACCAAAATGAACTGCATATTATATATTTGAATCTATAGAGCAATATTTTATTTAATTTTTTTTACTGTTTTGTTGGTTGGTTTAAGGATGGCATAAGAAATTCTAAATTCCATGGATTTTGATTGATTTAATATGATTTAGTTTCTTGAAATTAAAATTTGGATAGAGTTAGTCGATTTCTTTTTAAAAAAAGGCTTAATACATTTTTTTTGTTTAAATTAAATCGTAAAATATGATTTGGTGTCTAAAGATTTTTTCGTTAAAAATAGGTGTCTAACATTTCCAACGTTACACTTTTAGGTATATGGACTGTAACACCCGTTAAATTTGGTCATTATCTGACACGTGTCACATATATAAAATTTCAAAAAATTATTTTATTTAAAAAAACCAAAAAACCCTCCAAATTTTACATCTTCCGCCACTGATCAACCATTGTCGGTTCGTGGTCGTAATCGTTGACACCATCCAAACCGTCTCATCGTTGCGACCAAAACTTAAGTCCCCACCCATCGTGAAAATATGCCAATGGTTGTGAAAATCACTACGAAGGGTTGTCGTATTTCTAGGTTTTTCGTTGTTATTTTTTGGCAATTTTAATGGCAACAACCGTATGTATGTTCACCCATCACCGTTGAGTTCCTCGTTATGCTCCAAACAAAACCCCCAACCAGTTATGACCCTTCGCTACCGAAGGGAGGGGGATGGGAGGGACAACACGGGAGGGTGATTTGATTTTTTTTAAATTTTTTTTTATTATTAGAAAAGTTAAGAGAATTAAATAATATAATGGTATACACCTAAAAGTGTAACGGAGAAAACATTATGTCATTATTTTAACAAAAACAAATTTTAGACACTAAATTGTATTTTAAAGTATAATTTAGACACTAAAAAGTATATTAAGCATTTAAAAATTTTGGGCTAGATTAAGAAGAAATTCGTACCCGTTGATATATTTATTAAAATATTTTTTTTATTGTTTTTAAATGATATATTTAGGTTTTTTATTAAAATTTTCATTTCGAGACGAGAAAAACCAATTTTCTTTGTTAATATTGGAGAAAATAATCTCAGTGACCAAAAATCCCATATAATATACGATTTTAACCAACTTTTTCCGGATTTGCCAAAAATGACCAACAAAATCGCAATGCGATCGCTAATTCGCAACGCGATCTCTATTATCGCAAATTCGCGTTTCATTTTCGCAATGCGATAGTTGAAAATCGCGTTCCGATGGTCTACAGTGTCGTTGCGATTTTCCCAATTCGCAATGCGAATAAGTAAATCGTAACGCGAATTGGGAAAATCGCAATGCGAATAAGTAAATCGCAACGCGAATTGGGAAAATCGCAATGCGATACTGACTATCGCAATGCGATAATACAAAATCGCAACGAGATACTTACTTTCGCAACGCGATACTGACTTTCGCAACGCGATTCTGACTTTCGCAACGCGATAATACATAATCGCAATGCGATTTTCAAAGCGCCATTAGTATCCTGGCCAAGTATTTTATTTTTAAATTCCAAACACGAATATTAATATATTGGAACACTGAACCGTCCACAGTATATCCCGTAATCGTAACTCATAACCTAAAACCTAAAATCACAACTCAGTCCCATCTCCATCTCTTACTCTCTCACCCATCTCCGACGAAATCCGTCCCCATCTCCGGCGAAATCCGTCTATCTCCATCTCTCAGAGCCACCCTCACAATCAGAAATGGAAAATCAACCAAATCAACCAACGAGGGTTAGTTTTTTTAATTATTTTCTTTTTGAAATTTTTGCATTATTATTAGGTTTTTCATATTGAAATTGATGATAAGTTTACTGGTAATTTCAATAATAGATTAACCATTTCACTTAGATTGCTTATTAAATCAACCGAGAATCGCAACGCGAAATGCAAATCGCAACGCGATTTTAGTTTCGCGTTGCGATTCTCTCGTTGCGATAGTCAAATTCGCGTTGCGATAGTTATTTTCGTGTTGCGATTTTCATTTTCAGAAACTATTCTTCTTCTGCAAATTGAAACTTGAAAG